CTGTTTGCCAAGCTTTGTTCAAACAGGGCATAAGTAAGAATTAGGTCCTCTCGTAGGCGACGGCACTCCAGGGAAAAGAGATCAAGCATCGCGAGACGCGTTTCGCAGTCCACGAATTTGAGGCCCGCAACCATTCTCGTAGCGGACCGCTGGACACGCTCAATGAGGGTGACGTTTTTCGTGCGTTCTGAGTAGAAAACCTGGTTGGTATATTCCAGGGGCGCTCTGACGTGGGCATAATGGAGTTTGTGGGGGTCCATGCGAGCAATACGGGAGAGGGTGCGTCGGATCATCCGTAGAATGGCGAATGCCTTTTGGGCCGATTTCTCATGGTGCAGTGAGAGGGACAAGTTTGAGGAGACCCGGATTTCCAAATCCTTTTTGGCATCTATCCTCATGATGTTTTCTGGTCCTTTCTCACCATGCATGACAACGACATTCGCTGAGTCTCCTCCAAATGACATGTGGTCGCACTTTCCGTCATTCAGAGCAAGCCGCCAGTCCAACGACCACTGCTCAGAAGCGTCTACATCCATTTGGAGGGCACTGGCATTGGAGCTCCAGGATTTCAAGTCGTCCGCAAAAAGTAGGCACGGACTTGCAAGAACATCTGGAAGGTCGTTGACGTAGACCAGGAACAGCACTGGTCCCAGGATGGAGCCTTGAGGAAATCCAATGGAGACTGGCGCTGGAGAAGAGTAGGTCGAGCCTATTCTCACTCGGAATGATGTCTGACAGGTACGCCTTGATCCAGTGAAGGATTTTCCCTTGGATCCCGTGAGGCCCGAGTTGCTGGAGTGGCGGGACGTGTGGGACCCCATCAAATGCTTTTGGGAAGTCGAAAAATATGGTGTCCGATTTGAGTCCTTCGCCCTTGGCTTGGGTTAAGCTGTCCGTAAATACGAGCATGCTTGCCAAGCAAGAGCGATTTGTGAGAAATCAATGTTTAGCCGGAGATATCAGGTTGCCGGAAGTAAGGTGATCTAGGATAGCTTGCTTCAGAATGCGTTCCATCACCTTGCACGGCAAGCTGGTGAGGCTTATAGGCCGCCAGGCGATCGTCGGTCACCAGTTTTGTAGATTGGCGTGACAATCGGTTACTTCCAAGCGGAGGGAAGGCGGCTTTCGTCAGGCGACTGGCGAAACACCGGATCACTGAAGTGATCACATGATACACGTGTTTCCTGCAGATCCAGTGATCCGGACTGGGCAGGGGAAAGTCGGTTCTTTAGCAATGATCGATAGCTGGTGCTAGTATGGCATCCATCAGCCCCTTTGGGTCTATGGAATCTGCGGTAACAGGTTGACTTAGCTCACATAAGATGCAAAATATTTCTTTTCTCTGCCTTTTACCTACAAATTGGTGACAGGTGGAAAAGAATATAGAGGTATCCTATATTTCGCACACTCTGAGGTTGCCTCCTAGACATGTAGGTTTGCTTTCGGTCCAGAAGTAATGCTTTGCAAACCAACGGCCAGCTATTGGGTGTGGAATTTATCCAGCCCATTTTCTAGAGTGGTGTTGTCCTAAGCAGGTGCTGCTTCAATCGGAAGATCAGTCCGGGTGGGTACGACAAGCATAATGATGGGAGACCCCATGTCTTCTATGTGGTTACGTTTATGTTAGTACGGGGTTTGTCCTCCAAGTATGGGGGAGAGCTGCAATTTTCTGCGCTTGGACATAAGTTCTTCACAAAGCCTGTGACATGCAAGGCTCTCAAGGTTCAATCCGTTATCCAAACGAAAATAACATATTATTTAGTAATTTTTGATTGTATGGTGATGAGCCTACAATACTCCGACAGAGACTCATTTTCATGATCCCTTATGAACCGGGCTTTGAGGATTCCACCATGCCATTATAGTTATCAATTAACTCGAAGTAAAGGATTGTATGTTATAAACTTCTTTTGAGACTAGTTTTTCTCAGGGCGTAGTTTGATGCTGCAAGAGTTAGTAAACGAGGTTTACGTAATGAACAGTTAATGCGCAGGGGCACCTGAATGGTAAGAATCGATGGCTGGGTGGACGACATCGGTGGGTGTGGCGTTAGTCCTAAACGGGACGGTTTCCTGTATCGTTCCATTAAATTTGAGCCGGAAAATCCAACGCTCCTTATTTTTCATGAGAGGTGGTATAAACTTGGATTAAATCGGGAGGAAATGGCGGGATAAAAAAACTGTGCTGATTGTGGATCAGGTGGGCCAATTTCATGACATTCGTGGGGTGGCGAGAATACACTTCTGGTGGAGACAGGCGCCCATATATTCATGCCACTATACAAAAGAATGGGGGAAAGGTCAAAATATGAGTATCTGGTGGATGTAGCAGTAAGCCAAATAAAAGCAAACGTCGGAGTTTTCATCGTTAGTGGATCTTCTGGTACGTCCAAAATAAGTAATAAGCCAGGATAGTGATCGAGCTGATTTACACTGTTCGAATCGCCAAAATGGAACAGGGTTTAGCAATTGGGATCTGAAACAAATGGAAGTGAATTGCCAAAATTCATTATGAAGGAGCTTCTAGGGCTTAAGTTTCAAGACACTCGCACACATCCGGACCAGCACGGACTCTTTTTCAGGTAGTCCGTTTGGTGAGGGAGGCTGCTTACTACTACAACAATGAACGATAACCACGTGAGTGCAAACAAACCGAATAAACAAACGGCGTTTATTCATTCCAGGTGGACAGATACACCAAACAACATCTTTGGGGCGGTCGGCGTTGGTGAGTTCATCCCATGGAGTCAGATTGGTCACGCGGGATCAGTGTGATATAAAGGCAGTATTTAGAAGGTTGTTCAACTGAAGAACCTTGTAGGAAGGCCAATCAAAATATCGATGAGAAGGAAGTGTCTCTATACTATAAGTGAAACAAATTCTTGACGTGGGAAGGTGAGCCAAAATGATTGAGTGTTGTAACCTGGGGAGCTGACCCTCTTGGAGCATCATCTATGATGAAACAAGTGCTTTGGGGGGAGTTTCGGAAACGCGCTGATGCCCGGCTTCAAGGAGGGCAAAGTCGGTTGGCAACGTGAGCTGAAGAATCGATCTGGGGAACGTTAAAACTTTATGGGTAGCTGAAGGATTCAAAGTCCAGTTTAGTCTTTAAAGACTTTCACGACGTGGTGTGTATACTCCTGAAAAACTGAGTGATTCGACACAGTTTGGGGAGAAAATATTTCAAAACGGGGTTAAGCTATGGGTGTAATCCCACTTCTGATGATTGATATCTGACATTGAATGCAATGAATTATCGTTATTCATTTTGCCCGATTCACAGGATCGAAATCACCTGCAATTTTATATACATTTCAATTTCGTTATGCTGATCCCATTAGTGAAACTAATACAAATGTCGAGTAGTTCTGAGGAAACAAATGTGCCTACTACAAGCTAGCCACGATAACAGTAGTGCATGGCCTTAAAACATAGAGTGAGAGTTATGATTTAATAGTGTGTGCAAGGGCATGGTTTATACAGTCATGACGTTCCCACCTCTTTGGAATAAGTATGGGAGTTGCAGCGAACGAGTGTAAAAAATAAAAGCTTTGGTATATACTTGGAGCAGTTAACCCCCATCTGTTGCGTAGAGCCATATTTTCTACAAGACAATAAAACCACGTGTTTTCACAAGCCACGCGTCCGATGACTAGGTCAAAGAATAATATAGGTCAAGGTCAAAAGCAAAATAAGCGGTATAGGCGCAAGCCAAAATGACAAAAACGGGGGCTCGCGTTGTGCAACAGAAAAATAGAAGAAAGGAATTAAAACCGCCTTCCACGTCACAGCCAGCATGGTTTTTCCTAATCTACCAACCCACTCCACCGCAAGCAAGAAAGGTGCCAACGAGAATGGTACAGTTGCTGTAGCCACAAACGCCTGCCTGAGTTTGCAGTGTGCGCATACAGTAGGGGAGCAGCGAGCCGTTTTCTACTCTTTCTAGCAGGTTTTGATTCTCGACGGCTTCGGTTGCTCTGAATGGTTTATATCACTGGACTATTGGAACCTAGTGATATGCAGTCCCGAGATACGGTGTATTTCAGACGTTATAGCATGCGATGGTTGCAATCATTTTAGTCTCGCTAAAGGTGGGTGAAGCAATTGATGGTCTGGCTGTAGTTTATAGCCGTACGTCTCTTATGATTCGTATTGCGCTTTAAGAGTAATCGTGATCTTCATGGGGAATTTTATGCTTCCATTATGCTGCCAGCAAGCATTCAGTCTACATCCATTAGTATCAATGGTCCGTCTTCCGATGTATGACGACAAGATTTCTTGGCGATCGGTCCAAAATTCGTAGTGACATTAGTGAATAAAGATGGAGATTCCAGTTTCGCCGATGTTACGCACATAGAGTTCTATCGCCCCGTTGACCACCGAATGAAGTTCAACTGCAGCAAGTGACCTCAGGAATAAACACAAAGTTCGAACCGTCCGTATTTCGCATCCCTGTGCAGAAAGGAGGTAAGGAAATAACATTTGGTCGAACATGAGTGCAGCGTCGACGCCATTGTTATTACATAATTGTACAGGAAAAGTTTTCAGGTGAGGGTTTGTAGCTTTGATGAAGAAATGCAGCTAACACTTCCAATAAAAGCTCGGACAACAACGCCATTGACCGAAATATTTGTTGTAGTTTTGGACAGGCAATTGGGAACAGCGGCATAGAATAACGAAGGAGTAGAGGAGCCGTAAGCTGAACCCATGTGATATTTTGAGGTTTAAAACGCCCAATTTTTCCATAAAGTTTGCACATAATTCTTAGCTGGACACCTGTAATGCAGGTGTTTTGGGTTCCCACCAAAGTTACATGTTTGTTGTGTAGTGGCAGAAGCTGTTCCGGAATTAACAAGGGATGAAGGAGTAGACACGAATCAAGTAACTGGCTGTCTGTGTACGTATGATTGTGATCGCCTTTGTGCAAACTGATAGCTCGTGCGATTTTGTGGGCTTTGTAAGTGTCCAATTCATACAACATTAGCAGTTTCTCCCGAAAGCTGTTCGACTAGGTCCGGTTATCTACGCAGCCTAAACTCCTTTGTTTGTATGTTTCACCCCTACAACCTCAGTCTTTAAAAAGTGACTTCAGTTTTTGGACGAACTGGTCGATATCTTGATCAGTTTTTTGCTTGTATAAAGCTGAATGCTGGCGAGCGTACACGATATTTTTGGGCGAATGTAAAATTATCCCTG